CAGGCCTGCCCCCCAGGCGGTCCCCGGATGAGGGGTGACCCTGCCACCGGCCGCCCCTCCAGCCAGCCCCCCTCCACCACACTGAGACAGAGAAAACAGTCCCAAAAGGGTTAAGGTTTGCATCATTTTGGATGTTAAATCTCTTTTTCGGGTCCCTGCCAAACAGGCAGTGCTGAGGATCAGGCAGGGAGGAAGTCCAGGCACTGACATTTCAATGTGGCTTGAAGGGTTTGCAGCAATTGCTGCCTTCTCCTGCCTGCAAACTGCCTTGCTCTAAGCGGTGCACGTCCTGCGGTTGTGCAGCCAGCGGGGACGGGCGGTGTGGGCAGGAGGCAGAGCTGCCCTTCCCGCTGGGGACGTGGTGGGGACGATGCTGCTGGAGCCAGAGCCTTGGTGGCTTTGTAGCTCCCGTGCCTGGCCACCTCAGCCCCAGGCAGCGTTAATGAGGGGACAACCCCATGTCCTCCCTCGGGGGCAGAAAAAGTGATTTAGTTTTACTGAGGCAGGTACTCCCCTGAAGGGACTGCAGCCCACAGAGGGGCCTGCACCGGGGTGGGTGAGATAGGTAAGAAGCAAGGGGTGGCAGGAGGAGACCAGAAGCTCCCGCCCCACGTGCCACCCGCTGCCTCACCAAAGGGACAGGGAAGGATGGAGTGGAGGGTGGTGAGGACACAGGGAGTGGAAACCACAAGGGGGAAGAAAAGGAGGTGGCTGGTGTTGAGCCTGGGGAAGGAAAGGTGCTTCCCCAAGGACACGTTTTTGTTATGTCTTCTTTGCTTCTCCATGCCTGGATCTGCAGGGCCCTTCCACCCCCTCCAGCAGTTCCCCACTTCTATAGTCAATGGCTCAATGTCCAAGTGGAAAGCAGTAACGAGTGGTGTCCCTCAGAGGTCCATACTGAGACCAATACTGTTTAATATCTTGACAGTCTGGAGGAGTAGGGGTTGTTCAGCCGGGAGAAGAGAAGGCTTCAGGAAGACCTTGCAACAGCCTTTCAATATATAAAGAGGGCTTGTAAGAGATGGAGACTTTTTAGCAGGACCTGCAGTGACAGGGCAACAGGCAACTGTTTTAAACAGAGAGAGTGCAGGTTTAGATTGGACATAAGGAAGAAATGTCTTGTGATGAGGGTGCTGAGACACTGGACCAGGTTGCCCAGAGAAGCTGTGGATGCCACGTCCCTGGAGGTGCTCAAGGGCAGGGCTTTGGGCAACCTCATCTAGTGAAAGATGTCCCTGCC